GAGTCAGAGCTACATGGTCCTTCATACTGCATCTATTTTTTCCCCTCTGTGGGGAAATGTGGCACTGTTTCTGCAGTCTCAGAGGAGTTTCACAGCTGGGAAGGCACTGAGAATTGTTCAATGATCTTCATGTCAAGCAGAAAAAAATAATGTGTTTAAACACATGGGACAGAGGTAACTTGTATTCATACATGTTAAACAAATAGGAAAGCAAAGTCTTAAGGTCCTAGAGCTGGCTGTATTTTGGTTGGCTGAGTGAGTCACCTCACAGCTTAATTCCACAACTTAGCAGTAAGCATGAAAACTTTCCCACTGAAATCAGAGCATACAGTGGGAAGGAGAGAGGAAAGAAAAGGTTTTCCCCTGTAAGAAATCTCATTACAAATTGGTGTGAAATGGGAAATTGCAGATGAGTTGCGTTTGAGTAATAGTATGGCAGTGGTTTCCTCGATCAATATTTTGGAACCTCTCAGCTATGTCATAGACCCAAAAGAGAGAAAAAATGTTGCTAACCGTTCACAGTAAAACATCTTCTGATTTTCAAAAATCAAGCATTAGCTAAGCTTCACTGTCCAATTATCACACTCTGGAGTCCCATGATGCTACCCGTGGCTGCGTTGTCTCAAAACTAGTAAGGTATCTGGATATATCTCCACTCAGACTAAAGACAAGTAGGCACAATCGTCTCCTTGGTGGCTTTGAAAAACCTCAGACAAGCAGGAGAGGAGAGAGGAGTGTGCAATTCACACATCCTGTTATCAGCCATGTCTGCAGAGTTGTTCTGTCCATCAAAGGACACAGGTGACACAAGTTCTTCCCCATTGAAACTCTCTCCCTATATGTTAGGCAAACAGCACTATACTGGTTGTTTCCATACAGGCCTGTTGTCTCAATATTGTACTTTTAACACCTGTAGCGCTGTACCAACTCAGGACATTTTGAATTGGAAACAGGTCTGAGTGGATCAACTACGTGGTCTGAAGGAAGCCTAAGAGGTAGTTCAGATGACTTAGCAGCATTGCGCTTTCGCTTTCTTATTTCGCTGGTTTCTCTGCAGGCATCAAGAAAAGGATCCTCTAAGAGATCATTTTAATGATTCCTGATAAATGGTGTTTGTTCATTTAAAAAAAATTTTGTTTTAGAAAAGAAAACCAATATCCACCAAGATGGGGCTTGAACCAAAATGCTGAATCCAGGCATCTGTGTATATTGAGAAACTGGGTGTCTGGAATGTAACGGCAGAGCAATACCACTTGTGTTATACTATACCTGCTATTTATCCCGGTAGCATCATGTTTATTGACTTGATATCAGAAGTTAAAATGTTTTCATTACTAAACAGTGTAGTAAGATAAAATCTGAAGATTAATCCTGTGTGCTCTACTATTTCATGCAATCCTACAATTCAAAAATGCCATTTCTGTTAGATCTGTAGTTAAAATGAGGAACATTTACAAGGACGTCTTCTAATGAAAGACTTAAAAGCATAATTCTATCATTGTAGTAACCAGTTCCCACCAGGCTGTAATGAGCAATGCAGACAACTGGGATATAACCAAACGGAAGCTTATCATTTTCTTAGATCCCAAACTACTCAAGTGAGAAAATACAAAATTGGCTGCAAGGAAAAATTAGCTGCTTAAATAAGAGATCTATAAAACATTGAAATACATTATTTTAATTGTTCACTGGCTGCTGGGAGCTAATGACAAGGTTCTTTTCAGAAGACCCTGCGAAAAAAGGTTTTATGTAGACTTTTATACTCCTTGGACTCCGTTTACATCTCAGGTAAACAATGTATATCAGGAGCTAATCCACCAAAGCACATGGAGAAGAAAATGTATAAAACTGATATACCGTGAAAAGGTATCAAGTCTAAATACGACACTTGACAAACTTTAATCTGTTTTTTACCCTGAGTACAAGTATTGCTCAATGAACAGCAAATGCAGTACTGTTAAGACCAGAGGCTTTTCAGTCTCTTCAGGCTTTTGCTTTATGTTTGAGTGGTTCCTCCACCAGGAGAAACTCGGCATGATAAATATGTAGGTACGATAAGTATACTTCCAAACAGATAAATATACTTGCAAACATCAGTCTTTCATGTGTTCCTCAGGTTCAAGCATTAGGTATAAAAAACTTAACCTGGTGCCCTTCCTCAGTTCAAATATTACAACCTTTTGAAGAAATTTCATTTCACACGTGTGTGATCTGGTCTGAAAGCATCGGCCCCCCTACCTAAAGGAGCCTCATCTTTCTGACATACTTATATTGACCTGCCTCCTGCTGGCTTCTGAGCACATGCTGTTCACATTGAGCACTGCTTTTCCTTAAAGCAGCATCTGCCAACATTTCCTAAAGCCAGTGAGAAGATTTTACTTTACTTCCATAGGTTTGATTAGGCTCTTTGGATATGTATACCTCAGAAAGCTTTTTAAGCACATTTGGCTTACGTTTAAAAAGCAGCTGTACAGACTTCCTAAATAAAACCAGAAAAAAACCCAACCCATTCAAAACCAACCCCACAACAGGAAAACAACCCAAAAGAAGTGATTCTTTTTGTGTCATTTTCCCTGTGTAAACATCTAAGAAATACAGGCATGGAATATGAGCTGTATGAAGTCTTGCTACGACAATAAGCTACGTTAAATGCAGAATGGTAGATCTAAAAAACAATGGCCAAGTTCAGTGTAAAGTCGTTAGAAAATGCATGCATCAAAAGCTATGCTGTGTGCAACATGGCAGGATACAGACATTAGTTGAAATGGGCTGGAGTCATGCAATTATTTGGAAAGAAGCTGCTGAGGAGAATAAAAAAGTGTGGATACCTGTGTGGATCATAGCTTCCTCCATCTTTATTTCCTGATATAGGAAAATACAAGAGTAACTTTTGTTAGTGTTTAGAACTTTGTAAAACCATTCACAATGTAGTTTTCCATGCACAGCATCTAATTCCTAAAAAGAAATGTACTGTGTTAAATAAAGACAGAGCTGCAGTCCAACAAAGATTTCCTGGAAGTTTTATGTAAAAGAACTGAAAAACCACAGTTTTTCAAAAATAATAAAACGCCCAAACAATTAGATATTGTAAAAAAGAGAAACATTTCTAGGTGAAGAAAGAGACACAAAGATGCAACAACACAAAACATGTAGGAAGAAATATTCCTGTAAAGAAAATCACAATATGCAATCAACCAAATTTAAGTGCAATGAATTCCAGAGTAATGAAGTGTAAATACCAGCTATTTTTGTACTCAGAGACTCTTGTAAAGAGATATTGCTTTCCTCAAAAATGGAGGGGACTACCGCTGATTAGAAGTTTGCAATGTTAAGTCTCAATTGTGGTGTAGAGCCTGAGGTTGTTCATATAGACAGACAGCAATTGGAATAGGATTTAATACCTCACCTGCTACTGGGAGGCAAAAACTAACCAAATAAACCCTGCAACAGAGAAAAGAGTTATGACTATGAAGATCTGCATATGCTTGTTATTGATTAGTTCAAATAACATGATAACCTTCCTGCAGCATTTCTGTCAAATCTTGTTGTTTGCCATCAATATCTCTCTAGAATAACCTGTGCAAACTTGCAAAGAAGCCTCCCCGTCATGCGGTTGTGCAGGATGGTGTGTGTGGATCCCTCCTAACTATTCAGAGCAACACTTAGGAGAGCGACAATTCATGGATACAATTAGTACTTAAGCAGATGAAAAAAATGAATAAAATGGAAATAAACACTTCTATTGTTCTTGTACCTGTTTCAAGTCCCTTTGGCCTCGGATTGCACTGCTTATAGCCTTGACAGCTTCGCAGTTCCATTAGCTGTATGTGTAATTGATTCAAAATGCCTCTTTCCACTGTATGTACTGTATTCGTCAGCTGAGAAAAAGAGGAATGGAGGGAAAAAATACTTGTTAGCAGGAATAAAAAAACCCTAGAGGAGTCTGGTGATCAACATTTTGTAACAGGGAAAGGGATTTACCTGATAGGGATCAGTGTTCATATCAAAATATTCCAAGAAGCCAGTCGCAAACTCACAAAATAGAAAATTGTGGGTGTCATTGACTGTTCGCAAACACCAGTAAGTGTTGTTATTCGAGCTTGTGCAAGCACAGAAAGAGCCCACTGTAATTAAAAAACCAAGTTATTAGTTTAGTGAAAAATAATATGCTTGTTTCTTCTACTAGTGAAACTTCTATAGGTTTTCATGTACTTAAATTCTAGATCAATTAAAAAAAAATCTTCTATTTGAATAATCTTAGATTCTCATCTAAAACAGAATAAATGTTCCTAACGTAATTTTCACGAACATTCAGTTAACAAAAGCAGAAGACAGTGAATCCTGTAGTTAATGAGGCATATTCTGTTCTGAGTTATACACAGTTTATTGGGAATGAGCAGAATTCAGACTTTACAAAAAAACAACACAAATCCTGATCCTTAAGATTTGTATACAGGATTCCTTGGAATTGCTTACTATCCATAAGGACACTGTTTCCCCCAACAGTAAGCAACCTTAACCTAGTAGATGCAAGTACAACAAAAAATTACAGAATTATAAGCATTACAGAGGAAGGTCGAATTGCTAGTTGATGTCATAAGTGAGATGGAAATGACGCAGCAGTCAAGAAAGTGGGAGGCAGTGTAAGGAAATGAGGCAAGTGAGAGAGATTAGGCAGTGGAGAGATGGGTTTGCAAGCAGGGAGCTTTCCTGGCACCTTGCATGCAGGAAGGATGGAAGAAGCAAGGTGGGAAGGAAGACCAATAGATAATCCTATGCCTCATTTCAAGCAGCTCTGCCCTACTGGCTTGAGTTTTCCACTTAACTATTTTGAACTGCAATCCCGCATTTTGTTTGTTTGATACACAAATAAAAGGGAAATTGAAGCACTCAGGCCTTTGCAGAACAAGCCCAGGCAGTGTAACTGGATTACATTTTGTTTTCACTTTTCAACCTGGGGAAACTTAGAGCAGGCTTCCATTCCAGACTGAAGACACCTGGATCCAGGTGTCACAGTGATGGGAGCAGCCATAAAGGACACCTGGGTATACCTTGTATATAATCTTGTTCTGCCAGCGGAAAAAGCTGTAAGAAAGGTATCTCTCTTAATTTTCAAACAAACTGCTAATAAAGTTTTGCTGTAGAAGAATGAATCCTTAATTCCAATAACAAAATATTAATAGTGCCTTAGATTTTTATTTAGATTTATTTAGATTTGTTATTAGTACTGTGATTAGTAGCTGTAACGGTATCAATGTTTTGAACAAACTTCATGAAAATAGTAATGCTATTGGACCTTTTTATCTCTGTAATGTGAATCAATACATTAGCTCTTCTTTAAGTTACAGACTGCATCAAAGGGACCATGACTGTTGCTGGAGCATTGCCAGAATGCACAGCAATATGAGAACGCTTTTCATAACTGTTTGTTACTCCACAGTTAGAAAGTAATAAGCCAATCTAATTGTTGCCTTTAAAACAAAGATCATGCATATGATGGCTTTAGGAACATCTTAAAATACAAAAAACATATTAGCAGATGTCCTAGTGCAATCAGAACAGATTATCACTAGGAGACAACTTCTTTCTCCAAAAGAAAAATTGTTCTTAGCAAATTTTCTGCTTAGAGTCAAATATGTTGTAACTTAATCATGATTTGATCTTGAGGTTTTTGAAAGTGAAGTTTTTGAAAGTAAAGTTTTCAATCACTTTTCTTCCTCCGCCACCAAAGATGAGAAAGGTATTGTTTTGTTAATGCTGAATACAGAGAAATGCTGAAGCATGCCTCAATAGGATAGTTATCTATATACCCTGAAGTTTAAAGGAACTTAAAATATTTTCTAGCTCTAATATTTTGTTCTTATACATCAGGTGAGTGTTCCACAGTTGTGATTTTTAAATTCTTTTAGAATACAAAAAAATGGGAATAATGGGAAGAATTAATAAGGGATAGTATCTGTATTTTCTTCACGATAAAGTAAGTTGTTTATGATACACTTTGAAATCAAAATGATAAAATCAAAATAGGCCTTTTATATGCTGAAGTTTGTGACAACATTAAAGGTCAAGTCCCAAAAAGGATTTGTGACAATTGGAAGATAAGGCTATTATTAATAACCGGAAACCCAATTAAAATTCCTATGAAATATTTGGTCATCTTGATCTCCAAGAGATGACACAAATCTCAGTGGCTGGTTACGAAAGTTTATGTTTTAGAGGCCAAGTCTCCTTTTTGTTTCTGCAGTGTTTAGCATCAAGCCTCTTGTGGTAATTTCATATAAATAAGTAATGCAACAATTACAAGCATACTCAGGTGACATTCTTTCTTCATACTTCAGAATAACGGCAGCAGCAGCATTACTAAGTGCCAGTTCTTCAAAATAATACTCTGACTGCATGAAGTGGAAACTCTGTAATACAGCAGAGGATAACCTAGATCACGTCTGCACATGGAGGTAAGACTTACAGTTCCAGAATGGTGCTGTTTGCCAATGGTTGTTGTCGTGGGTAAAACATGTCAGTCCAGGAAGGCTACACTCGTCTCCTTTCTTCTGGCGCTTTTTCCCCTTCCTTTCCTTCTTCCTTCTCCGGTTCTCTTTGAAGAGCTGCAGTTTGCCATCCACTTCCTGTGCTGCTTCTCTGTTCAGAGAGAAAGTTGGGCACGGCTGACAGAGAACAGTCTCTGTTTGGTTAACAACAGCATTAGCAGTTTTTACATCTTTCTGGCTTTTTTAAAGATGAGAGGATGAGAATATGCCCCTCTTTAGCTCAGCTTCCACCACAGCTGTTATGACAAGGTGTTCTCTTCAGTAAGTATGAGAAATGACACACTGTTGCATTTAGGTTTAACTGGATTTTTTTAACAATCGTGAGGTCAATCAGCTTCTGAAATGGTTCATTTCATCCATTTTCTATCAACAGGTTTTAAAAATATTATCCATAAACTTTCCCAAGTCTGTCCAAAACAACTGAAGGTTTCTGTGAGAGCTTGCTATATGTGACCCTTTCTTTCCCTCGCCTCCTCCCTTCTCCTCTCCACAAAAAAACCCCTCAAAACCCCCCCAAAAATATTTCTCCATTCACCAAAGAGAGGATAAAAACAATCTTACTTGAAGGGATGAAGATGGCTCTTAAGTTTCTCTTGGGCCTTTACCCCTTTCTCTTTGTTGTAATAGCTACAGGGAAAATTATTAGGAATTATCAAGTCATGAAACCATTTTCAGCACAAAAACAAACCAGAAACATACCATCTTTGACATTTTCTTGAAGAACTACACAGAATGACTTACGATTTTCGCTTCATTTAAAGAAGTTATATCTGTGTGAGTGATCCTATACTAGATTATAGCAAAACTGCAGCTGGGTTCGAATATGTTAGTGAAATACAAACATATTTAATCTTAAAATTTTTACATTTATCTTCTTTTGATTCACAGTAGTTTCTACTCTTAAAAGTGATCTAACCAAAATAAGTACATATAGTGGTTATAAATATCATTAAAGTTTATGTTCTTTCTTTTCCACCTCAAAAAACTTGGAAAATGTATAAGCCTTAGCAATTGGTGCAGCTTTCAGTGTCCAATGGCATCTCTCTTACCTCTGTTTACTACAGTCACATTCATCTGGTTTTCTTCTTTTTAGATGTCCTCTAACTTCTCTCAAATTCTTAATTTTGTCTTGGAGAGCTTCGATCTGCAGAGAATATTTCCGAGTCAGAATTATTCTTTGAAAAGGTAGCAGTGCAAAGACTTCACTCAGATTTTAGAATCCCTCTTACCTCCTTATCAATGTAAGCCTTGTGGTCCTTCCAGGCTCTGGCGGATTGGTACAGCTCCCTCTCACAGTGAATAGTGTCATTTGGAAGAATAAAACATCTGTAGACATGAGTTTAATGAATAGGAAAAAGAAGGTCAGTGGTTTCCCAATTGCCTACCCATTTCTTCTCTTTCTTCCAACTTTCCTAATCAAATATTTGTTATACTTTGTTAAGAAATAAATAAACTCCACAAGGTCTTCTCATGTTGACTTAATAGTATTAATAATTGTTTCAATCTGTTTTCTCTGCAAAATAAAAAAAAAAAATCCTCATCCAATCCAGATGCTCTGTGCCTGCTAAGCAAAAATGCAATGGCACAGCCATCTTGGAGAGTCTTAATCCAATCAGAAATGAAATTGAAACTAAAATAAAAATCTGTTCAGAATTTAAAGCCTCTTAACGAAACGTGCTATTTAACCACCAGCTGCTGAGATTCCTCTTGCCACATGAATGTGACTCATCTTCCAAGAATGCAAAATAGTCAAGAACAGAACATACAGTCAGTGGGCTAAAGATCCATATAATCAATAAAGGTCAATAAGAATCAAAGTTAGAGCAAAGAGTTCAAACAAGTGGTTAAAACAAAACCAACAGAACACTCAACAAGCAATGCAATGACAAAAACATTCATACCAGTGTTGGAAAAAATATCTCTACCAAAAGAAAAAAGTACATGGAAGGCCAAGAAGGTGGACTGAGATAGAAAATCCAGCAGACTACAAGCTGGGCTTTCAAAGTCTCCATGCTGACAAACAGAAATTCCTTAATCACAGAAATATTCCAATTTTATAGACACAACCTTTCTTGGGTCCTGCTTCATCAGAACCCTTCTTTTAATTTTTGAGAAGAATAGCAGAAAGGAAGATTCAGATGTTTATCTCTTCTCATGTTATCCCATTATGTTTTTTTCTTCACTCAATGAATTCTGAAAACAATACTGTATTCAGTAACAGTCAAAACACTTTAGGAGAAATAATAACATTTCCAGAATGCTATTTAAGGCTTCATTAATGCCATGGTTGGAAATTATCAACATAAAAAAAGGATAATTTTTACTTATTCAAAATTAACTTTTATGTTTTCCCTGATGTTTAAAAAAAAAAGGAAGAAATGAAACGAGAGAAATGCTATTTATATTTTAAATGCAATAAAAAGTATAAACCAGAAGATTTTTGTTGCCTGCATCTGCCTGCCTTTTCAGATCAATCATGTTAGCTTTTTTAAACTAAAAAATATTGTGAGATTTTTGCCTTTTCATTCAGATTTAGTGCAGGGCTAAAAATTGAAATCTAAGCATCTTCCAGGATGGAAAATGATTGTGGGTCTCTTCAGGGATAAAGAGGTCTAATGTATCTTAGCTAATGTTGCTGGCTGCAAACAACTAAGCATTAAGAAAGATGATGTAACTGATCTAATTTGTCCTCATTTAGAGTGGGATTTTAGTCCTCTCAAATTTAGGCCTCTGTGCTAAGCTGGTAGCCTAGACTTTATAAAGAACAGCAGGAGTTTCAGCTTCACAGAGTGATTAATCCATCATAAGACGCGTGTTTCGATACGGAGGATGAATCTCCGTCTGGAGATGCCTACTCCTCCTCAGAAATAAAACCTAAACTAGTTGCCTCCCTTTAAAATACACATACTGAAGTTAAATGATTCCACCTACTAACAAGTACAACTCAGGTTTATCTAAACCCTACAACAATAGTTTTAAGTTCTTAAATATTGTAACAATAAAATAGTAAAAAATGGAAAGAAAGAGAATACAATTAGAAAACGAAGATTTCATTTTAAGAAAAAAAAAACACAGAAAAAGCAATTGTACTTGTGCGTCACTCTGACGGAGTTGGGTTGACCTATAGCATCAGTGCCATCAGCGATCATTGCGTCACCAAGAGCACCATCGGTTTCCTCTGCTTCTTTTTCATTTTCAGCATTGTGACGCTTGGTGATACTTTTGGTCTTTAACACCTGCAGTTCCTCCTCTTCCAGATTTATGTCATATATTTCACCTTCAAATTCCACAGACAAGGACCGGGTTTGGCGAGTGTGAACAAATCGGGGTTTGTATTCTGAAGCAGAAGAAATAAACATTCCCGGTTGCATATACATATCTACATGACCCATGCCATGAGCACAAAGCAAACTTCAAAGAGCAAGAATGCTGTTCGGTAAAAACAGCTTTTTTTTTCTGTGGCTTTACAGAAACTTATTTAATGATTTTTTGATATGTCAGGGCCCACACTTTCATGAGTAGCATGAAATTTCGTTTGCTTCAAGGTTTGCATTTCATGCTAGTCTGACCTTATGCCACAGTTAGCATATGTATCTCCAAATAAAATCAGTATCTTAGAAATCAGATATCTAGAAAGAGACACTCAAAAAATCAGAGACCACAGGATTAGAAACCACTTTAGAAAATTAAACCATTCAGTACTGTGAAATAAGGTCATCGCCTGTAAATTGGCATGTGACATAAGTTTGACTTACGCTTTAGAATAAAAATTACTTTTTAAAAGGATAAAACCTTTTCCTTTTTAAAGGTAGGCTTTAAAAGGGCAAGAATCCATCGTACATCACTGTATATGTATCTATATGTATATACGTAGAGGAATAAGAATGTTGTAAAGAAGAAAAGCATAACAAAAGGACTTTTTCTGATGCTCCCTTCAGATGTTTTCCATACTTCCCCTCTTCCTCTCCCCAAGTCACTTTCCCCCATGTGCAATCCCCATTCAGCCTTTGCTGGTGTCCTGATGACACCTTCTCTTTCCAAGGTACACGACAGGTATCTCCCCTGAAAATATCACTTAGGGGAACATTGCCGAGTTTGAGAATCACCCTGGCAGTCTGTGACATGTAGAATTTTCAGCAGAAGTCTGCCTGTGCACACTGTCAAACTCCTTAGACAATTAAACAAACGGAAGAAATTATATCAAGGCCACATTTAGTCTGAACAATGAGACAACTCAAGACAGACAATATTGCGGTTGAATGTACAAAGAATACCAGGGATTCTTGTTCACGTCCAGAGTGGGGGAGGCTTTAAATCAGGAAATATTTTGAATTATATTGACATTATTTTCTTATTTCATAGACATCTGTGCGGCATCTTTTAACTTTTGCATTTCTCATAAGACTTCGCTATCTTCCTGTTTTAAAGACCCATCTTTATTTCATTCCCCAGTCTAGTATTCTAGATAGAGAGCAGGAGAATACAGCCTGCTCTTGAATGAAGTCTGAAATCCAGGTCCGCTTGTATTGCTATAGCTACAGAACTTCACGTTCACCGCTGGGCAGATAAATGAAAATACTTGTTCCATTTAAAATAATGGCTTCTTTGTATAGGCTTCTTTTGTAGAAATCATTAGCAAAAACAAATCCAAATACTGCTGCCCTAAACCCTCTTGTACGTTCCCTTCAGCCCACACTCCACTAGAGGACACTGCAATCTAACTCGTGTCCCTGCGGGGATCCCGGGACTGACTTGCCGGGAAGCTACAGCTGAGCAGAATTTCAGTCCGACAGAAGTCACAGCACTGCAGTGCCTCATGTAAAAAGTGCCTTTGGGATATTATCAAACAGCATGTGAATTCAGTTTTAATGATGCAAGAAAACACTTGCACTGGCCACCTTAGCAAATAATGGCACCGACTGATCCGCAGATGCCGCTGGGTTGTCATGTCTGAGCAGCGCGATAGGCGGCCCCAGAGCATCACCACCACCACCACCACCAGCCTAAAGACTATTCCTCACTGTGATCCAAAGGATAAATATTGTTGTTATTATTATTGTTATTACAGAGGCAATTATGTAGAACCTTCCTGCCAATTACGGATGTATTTATTATACACGGAGGTGAAAACAAGAGTTTACTGGTAAGCCAACACTCTGCTAGCTATTTCCCCCTGCTCTTTGCCTCAGCGGTTCAAGAGATCAGATAACACTTACTTTGCGCATTAGGGTTTCTCAGGAACTGTCTTTGATTTTTTCTTTGGGTCCTGCTGTTTCGGTAATCAGTGTCTCCACAGTTGCAGTCTTTGTCTTTACCGCTGTATCCCCGGGAGTGTATGCTGCGGGTCCTTTTTCTGATGGCAAGTATGTCGCTAGATACTTTACACTTGTGAATTCGAAGTTTGCCGGAAGCATCCTCCGTGCACTGCCACTTCTGTAAGAGAGAGAAATGAAAACGATTTCCCACCAGCCTTCCAAACCGCTGCTGCTTTCACATGGATTGTAAAACAAGACAGGCAAATTTCTTTAAAAATTAAGCAGTCTTTTAAACAACAAACTGAGAAGAGAAACATTGTAAGGGCCTAAATTCACTCACATTCTTCTCAACATCTCTCTCATGCTAGGCAAACATAAGCTTGAATGAAATCACTGCAAATTTGCATAAAAAAATACAACCCCAAAAAGCCAAAAAAGATATATAAATCAAGAGCATCTAGACTAAACACATCCCTGAAAGGAGCAAGTAAAAATTCTTAATTTACTGAGCCACAGAGTACAGCTGTCAGAGCTGTTTTCACCAACTCTTTTTTTTCTTTGAAAAAACAAACTTTGTTTCTTTGTTCTATGACTTGGAATTTCTAACATGATTCAGGGGAAATAAAAAATCCCCACAGATAAAGACGAACTGGTTCAGTTGTAGGGTTCCTTGGAAAAGAGAAGGACAAATTGTGGATGTGATTTATAGAAAAATACGTAAACCACTAACAACACGTAATTTATTTCCTCACCAGTGGTCAGAGTTAGGACCTGCACCCTAAGACATGCCCCTGCAAACCATGCCACTCAGACCTGCAAACATTGCTGGCTCTTTATATTTTACATGAGAAGGGAGAAGCCTGAAAGCGCGATACCCCTGGCTACCCTCTCTACACCCAGCAGGTGCAAGCAGGGGAAGAACCTTAGGGACAGTAAACAAATAAATTAGCTTGGATAATCTCCTTTGGATACCTAAGTCTTGAGATTTGTATCAGAGTTGGGAGAAAAAAGTGCAGCCTAGAAGGAGTACCTGTAAAAGGCATCATACGTGTGCTGAATATCAGAGCAAGTGCGGGAGAATGAGACGAAACAGAGTTTTTCCAGCTTGTCTGCACAGTATCTGAATGACTTGATTATCAACATCACTGAACCAGATGGAAGATTCCAGGTGCATTTCTCCAGTGGATCCCACTGCCTTGACATTTCAAATTAAAAAGCAACTGGGACTTTAATTCCCTTTCCACACCGAACTGTCTTAAAAAAGCTGAATGTCATTCTTTTTAAAACATGGATAGGTGCTGACAGATCAGAACTGCTTTGCCCATGCCCAAAGCTTGCCATATATGGCTGCTGGGTTATAGCTGGCACTCGTAACACACTACACAAGCTAAGAAGACTATGAAGATCTTAAGTCAGTTGTAGTCCAAATAACAATAGGCAGAACTAGAAATAGCTATGTTTATTTATAATTTGAATACAACTATAAATGACTATTACCCAGCGAGTTTTGTTCACTTGTGCATCTCAAGCCACAATGACCAGACTTTGTATACAAAGCAATTAAGTTTGGCTGGATAGCGTAGAGAACAAAACTCAATAATGCGGTTGATAACTGGAACCTTTTAGTTGCAGTTTCAGCTAAGTTTCCCTGTAATGTGTCCTTTTTTGGTTCCCGGGACTGAATAGCGTAACTTTCTCTTGCCTCATTAATAATAGCAAGACAGCTAGATGCTGGTCCTAATGGAGTCCCCAAATTAATTTTTGAAATGGACACTAATATCAGAGCACACATGTTTCAGTAAGTATCTTCCATTAACTAATGGCTGCTCTGGACTGTTTTGGGGGTGCTGTCAAGCTGACTGAAGAATCAAGAAAGAAAACTAAGCCTCAGGTAGATTTGCTGACCTGATAACCTGAGGAGTGAGCTGATGTGGCCCTGAACGGCAGCAGCGTGAGAGCACTCTCTGGCCTAACACTGGGTTGAGCTAAAAGATGGATCCCATGCTCAGAGACCTTGCCTGTGGATTGGCATGACTCTGATCCCAGAACAGTAACCCGCGTGTAACAGGCCATAGGCCTACGTACATCTGATGGCCGCCTGAGAAATTACACTCGTGCCCAGACTTTCAGTGTAAACCCACACCTACAAGTGACAAGGTGACTTTCTATAAGGAAAGGTGTCTGAGAGCTATAACGCTTTGCAGGATTTTATTCTGCAATAGCATGTGCACTCTTCCTACCGCAGCAAGAGATGATTGTTACAGGATAAGAACCGACTGCACCACTGTATTTCCTGTGTTTATTGGGTACACGTTACATTTATAAACATATGGCACTAATTTTTAATGAGTCTTAAAAGCACCATTTTAAAATAAAATAAGTATTCTCTTTGTCTAACATTAATTATAGCAAGAGGTTCCTCGAGTGCCTTCAACAGCCATTTAGATCACTTTTAACAATATTATGACTAACATTGAAATAAGAGTCTCTGTGTCTAGTACAAGCCAATAATAGTTTTCTATTTAAAACAAGGATTAAATGGGATTCAGTTCCTTTTTTTTTTTTTTTAAATTTACTTTAAAAACTATCATTATAGAGATGCTTCAGAGTTCTAAGATGGAATTTTTAGACTAACTTTCCTGAAACCCTGCCCATGTCAGCGTAATCGGGCACTAAGCATGCATTATGCAGTAAGTCATAATGGTCCTTCTGCTCATCTTTAGATCTATAAAATCCTTTAATGCACATAAAAGAAGATTCTGACTGATGCACTGCCCCTTCCCCTCCCCTGTTTTCTACCTTCCTTCCCGCTATGAATACCAAACTATTCTTTGAAATCCAGGACGATTAGGTTCGGTTTCTGAGTCCCCATTTCTCCATAGGTTAAAAAATATTGGCACATACAAAAACTAAATATGTCTTCATTAAATTTTAATTTGTATATGTTTTCTTATTTTCCCCATGTTCATCTTCCTTCTCATGTTGATGTTTCACAAGACACCTAAGCCGATCTAACAATTCACTGTTGCCATAGGAATACGGGTTAGTCCCTGCTTCTGGCCACATGCTGACTTAGGGACCTCCGCGCTGATTTACTCTCTCCCTCAGTAGGAGAAAAGAGGACTAACTCAGAATTAAAAAAACCCAACTACTAATGGGAGAGGAAAAGCAGGACCCTGCCATTGGGCTGCAACAAGCTGTTACATTGCTTCAGTCATGTTGTGAAACTTAACCTGTGTCAGCCTTTTTCCCTGTCATTGACTCATCTTTTCCTGCTTTCATCTCATTTCATCACCTACCCTCCAGCAGTTATTTCCCACTCTCCTCAGCTCCGCACCTCCAGTTTTCCTTCTGCCTCAATTTAACTTCAGAGGGGAAGCAAATGTGGAAGAGGATCCTTAATACCCCCGCACCAACAGGGTCCTGAAACCCCACACCTGAAAACTGGTGGGACTACCCCACTGTGAGGGGCTTTGCTAGTTTACAGCTGCCCTGAACCGAAGCAGGGTCTGTTCTGCAAGTGCGCTCAGGGCCCTGGCCAGCTCCACGTGAGTCCTCCCTGCCCTTGGCAGCAAGTTGCAGAGGCAGCTTAGGATGGGTAGAAGCACTGAGCATCATTTTGGGGTTTTTAATGCCTGCGGAACGTGAAGTTTAAGCACGTAAGTACACGTGCCTACTCCTCGGTGGGGAGGCGAGCACCGGACTGCAGGAGGAGTTTTTCTGCGGGTGATGTCATTGGCATGATGCATTTTCATCTGGGGGTAGAAGTTTGCCCTTATAAAGTCATTTCAAAGGCAAAGGGGAGGAAATCGGCTGGTTAAAAGAGTATTGTTTGTGCTTGGTGGCCTTGCTTTGCGCTGCTACTGGCACGGTTCCAGTTGCGACTTAGAGCTACATGAGCAAGACAACAGCAAATGACTTGGTAAGTACCTTGGGTCTCAGTTTCCTGGTATTAATCAGTTTGTGCCACTGCCTTAAAATTAAGTCAGTCTATTTCATTTCTGAATATAATTAAGGCATAAAAATATACATTCAGCATGAATCATTGTGATGTGCTGCACTATAAATATCCACTTAAGCAGGATTTCAAGTCAACTTTCTTTAGTTAATAGACTATGACAGCTTTGAGAGAGTTCCTGCCCCCATATACAGAGGGGAAATTAATTAGACAGTTCCTGAAAGGTGTCTTAAGAGTAGGCAAGCTAAGGGTTTCTATGAAATGTAATTACCCGGTATTTGCAGTAGACACTTCAGTGTTAAATATCTTGTCAGATTTTATCACAAAGCTATGAAACCCTGAAAAACACGCAACCGGAAATATAACACAGCGACAATATTTTTACAGGTGCTTTTTCATTTTGGTAACGCATGACTGACTGAGTATTATTGCTCAGCCTAGGGAATGTTAAGGTAAGGCACAAAAAGGAAGACTTCATGAATTTAAACATGTCCTCAAGATCTCATTTCCCTTTTTTCCTGTTTCGAAAACAGGAATTTGAAAACAGTTTAGATGAAAATACCATCACAGGCTGTGTATGTGTGTACCACTTTCCTCTATTAGCAGTAACCAGATCTGGGTGAGTGTCGGGGGATCTGACGTGATAATACCGGCAAGGGAGCCTGGGTTAGGGCTGTGCTACTGCAGTGTGAGTCCTGTTTTTGCTTTCTCTGTGCCATTCAAAGAGGCCATGTCACACAGCATATTGAAAGTGCCCTGTAATTAGTTGGCTATGGTAAATAGTACAGAGCAGCAGCAGTTTATTTCTGCTGAACTGGACCTGAATACTGAGAAATGTTTATGGGTTAAGGCCATGTCCTCTACGCATTCCCGCAGAGCAGTCATGAACCCTGGTCCTGACTGAGGCTCCTAAGTGCTCCTGCAAATATTAATCTGGATTGTTACGTCTGAGCAGTATTTGAACATTGCACGCGAGTGCAGCTGTTTCACAGGGATGGTGTGCCAGGTTTGCTCAGGGAACTTGGAATTGCTGCATTTTTGTGGACCAAAAATCTCCTCCTTGAGTTTAGAACTGGGTTGATGCCGCCCGTAAGGGCAGGTCCCAATTTTTGCACCACTCCCTCATAACTGGACCACCTCCTATTGAATCACGCACAGCTCCAGAGTCTACTGACATTAATATACTCAAAAAGGTTATTTATATACAGACTAACACCCTG